TTCTAATCGAATACGTTCAACATCATCTGTTAAACGTGTATTTTCTACACGAAGATAACTAGAAAATAATATTAAATAAGATATATAATGATATTGAAAATTATAAAACTATTCTCCGTCTTTTACTTCTTTCGAATTTTACTTTTTCTTTTTTTTTACTAAAATCAATTTTTTGCTTGAAATTCATCGTCAATATATAGATTCATATACGTATTTATTTCGTAAATGTTCGTATATCGCATAGTTATTGTCGTTGGATATTGTGATTCTTAACGGTGTAAAAGTAATGTTCACATAGTCAAATTGTCGCTACATTTATTTTGCATGTTTTCGATTGATTTTTCATTTATTACTTTGTTTATGTGTTTTTAGCGTCTTAAACAAGTTAAAATAGAATTTTGCTTTATCGAACTCAATCGGACACGGTAGGAAAAAAAGCAACAACGCCAAATGATGATCGTCAATTATTATAAAATATTAAAAATGATCGAAAGTTTTATAGACATTATGATAAAAAACGGTTGTATGCTCTCGGAGACACAGTCGTAGTCCTAAAGCTAAGCATGACAACTAGAATCGATCATCATAAATGTCCTATGGAAAATCGCGATGTTGATCATATGAATATAAAATGTCTACTGCATGTCATTATTTAATAACTATGAGTTATAACAGTTAGACAACTAAACGAAAGCCTTTAAGAAAACCTGCTCAAATTAAACAACGTCTAATATTTACTAAAGACCATCAATAGTGGTTAAATGAATCAAAAAATATTAAATTGTAAAAATCGTACTTTTGTAGTTCGTCGTTTAAAGTTAGAAAGTAATAAAACATTCAATTTCAATCTACGTGCTCAATATGATAGAGATACTGTTAGCGTATCGATATGTTTGATATTATTACCCATGTTTAGTGAGAATACATTCGATATAGAAAACACTAGTCGAGTTTTCATGCAAAGCTCACTTAATCTAAATTCATTCGAGCACTTGTGGGATCATTTTAATAAAGAACTAAGAAAAGAGCACATGCAAATCTATATATTGACGAGGAATTTGAAATAAATCAAAATCGGATAGTGGTAGTTTAGAAGAAAGATGTCGAAGGCGATCATCTCTTCCTTCTCAATAGAAAACATCCAAAAATGAGTCAATAGAATCTCCCAAAACACATTTTATGATCATGATATTTAAATTATTTACTTATTCATTGCAAGTATTGTATTCCATGTTTCATTAACTGTTGAATCTGTTGTTGAAACACTTGTTTCACTTTCTTTAGCAGCTAAATGTGTTGATAACTAAAAATAAATAAAATAAAATAAAAATAATTAATTATTTTGATTTTTTTAAAATACTTTAATCATTAAAGCATGTTGTTCGTTATGTTTTTGTTCAAGTTCATTATAACGTTGTTCAAGTTGTTGTGTTATATCTTGTTGAACTTTATATATATCATCTTTTTGTATTATTGTTGTTTCATATTGTTGAATTTGTTCAAGTAATCGTTCATTATGATTTTGTAATGAAATAATTTGTTCAGAAAGTTCATTATGATGTTTTTCTAATTCATTAAAATTAATTTGTTGTTGTTCAAGTGTTAAATTTAACTAGTAAAACAAAAATTATTATTTATTTATTTAAACTAAACAAATAATAATAAAATTACTTGATTAATTTTTTCTTGTAATTGTGTATTTTCATCTTAATTCATGTAGTAATTGAATCGAAAAATTTTTGTAAACTTTATTTTTATATATTAATAAAATCTAAATCAATATTTATTTAAATTCTATTAAGAAATCGTTAATCATCAATCATTTCTTAATCAAAATGAAGAAAATATTCGTTCATTAAATGAACGTATTCAAACAATGGTTGATCAACATCAAGTTGAAGTAAAAAAAAAAAGTTTTTGTTTTTTTCTA